TGTGTGAGAGAGAGAGAGAGAGAGAGAGAGAGAGAGAGAGAGAGAGAGAGAGAGAGAGTTTAAAGCATCCTGTCTCCTAAGGACGCTCCCTTATGTAAAAAGGGACACTTGAGCTGGTGAAAGGATGGCATTTGATTTCAGGAAAAAAAAAAATCCAGCCAGAAAGATTTAGAGGGTACAGACATCGGAGGCAAGCCAACTAGCTGGAGTATATGAAGCAACATCTGTGGCTCCTCTACCGTTATTTCTGTAGAGGGGCATGGATCATGGAGTGGTGGGGCAGCTGCCCTCCCAGAGCATTGGGGAAAGCCTACACACCATCCTGAACCAGCACAGCAACAGCTTCTCTTCCAATGGTGTAGGGGTGCTCCAAAGAGGTCAGATGGGATGGGTTGGAAACTGCCCAGAGAGCCTAAGCTTTGTGCAGTAGAGACATGACATGAATACTAAATAATAATAACTAAAAGGGGATTTTCTGCTGGGCAAGGGGGGGGGGGCTAGCAAAATCAACAAGACTTTCTGCCTCCAGCCCTGTCCCAGGGTAAGCCAGCTGGGCGGACCACAGAGATCAAAATAGCAAATGGGGTTTAGGAGGCTGTAAGCGCTTCTGTTGTTCCTCCCTCTCTCACTGGCTCAGTTGGCATAGCACAGGATCGGCAGAGGGCACAGAGATCAGTAACAGTGCTACCAATCGCTTAGAACTGCACTCAAATGCCTTTGACAACCAAATCACTCTGGGTCCTCTTGGAGGCATGGTGAGCCTCATGTGTCCAGGTTTCATGATCTTGGTACTATGACACTAATGGACAGATGCACGCCCTCTGTTATTCATCATCATCACAATTTATATTCTGTCTTTTCTTCAAGGATACCAAGGCAACGTACATGGTTCCCTTGCTAATTTTATTCTTACAACAACCCTGTGAGGTAGAAGAGATGAGAGATGGCACCCTGCCCAGGGTCACCCAGTGAGCTCTGGTTGAATGGAGATTTGAATCTGCTGGTTTGCAGTGCAAAACAACTTTCCAAGCTTTCACGTCAAACAAATGCCGCCTTAATTTATTTGGAAACTATCTGTAGCCCATTGCAAATTACTTCCATGAGTGGATCACTGGAAATAATCACTGTTATTAGTTTGCAGTGCATCTTAATACTTACATGTCAGCAAGGAATAATTCGATCCATTAACCTCCACATAAAAGTTCAAGTACTACTTCACATTTGTGACTCAGCAATAGGCAAAAGGGGAGCGAGTAGAAGGGCTCTGGTAGGTGAGTCACCGCAATGAAAATGCAAAGCAGTGCAAGTGCCATTTGGTAACCTTTAAAGGTGCCCAAATCATTATAGCTCCAGAAGATATTAGAGTTAATTTTGTTAAATTAAATGTGGTGTGCTCCTATCAGCAATGCTGGCTGCTTATGATGTTATTACAAATATTTTAGTTAGTATTTAATTTTAGCTTAACAATGATAACATTCCAGTTAAGTGTGTGTGTGTGTGGCATCTGCTTACGTCTGCTTTCCTAACACTATCATCAAAATCGAAGCACCGTTACTTTCCTGAGATCTGTTCAATTTGTGACTGGGAGGGCTGAGGCCAGCATTAAAAGCATTCTCTGTTCCTTTGAGTTTGGACACTTCATGACAAATGGTTAATAACAGCACTTTTATTATTCTAAAAATGGACCTTTCCAGATACATTCCCTATCTGCAAAATATAAACAATGCTGTCTCCAGCTGCATATTGTGTGAAGAAAGTAGGTGAAGGTTGCTTTCCTCAATACATCTAACAAAAGACAAGTGGCCCCAGTGAAAATAAAAGCAGTAGGCAACAGTGAATGCTCTCTAGAAGTACTTAAGACTCCTTTTAATCCTCTCTCATTGCTTTCGGTTTTACCTGTGTGCTTTCCCTTCTTGTTTTTTATCCATTTTGTTTCCTCCTAAGTGCCTTTGCATATCAGGCAGTACTGAAAGCAGCAATAACCCCAAGCTGGTGTGATGGATGTTCCAGTAAAACCCACTGCTCCAGCGAGCATCCCTCCCAGTGCACCAGAAGGCTTTTGCACAAGCACAACATAATCAATGTTCACGGTAGCGTTGTACTGGATTCTGTCCAGTTTTTTCAGACATGAGGTATGCAGTAGCTTCTGACTGAATGAGAGATGTGGTGCAGATAGAAAACCTGCACTGACCAGGATCTCCATCTTGTAATCCAAATCTCTCTTCTCTGCTATCTCTTAGGGATAGCAAAAAAGCTGCAAAACAGTAGACAATGCGGATGAGAAGCATTTCTTTATGAACTCTTCTGCTTTCTTTCCTACCCCATCCCCCTGCAGCATTCTCTTTGCAGACATTGAGGGATTTACCAGTCTGGCCTCCCAGTGCACTGCTCAGGAGCTGGTGATGACGCTGAATGAACTCTTTGCCCGATTCGATAAACTTGCAGCTGTAAGTGGAGTTTGTTTCCCTCCTTGCCTCCCACCCACCCCCCACGTCCATCTGTTGTGACGGTGCCTTCCACGCAGTGCTGTTACGCTTTGGCTTACTGCTGAATACCTAAGTGTCTTAAAAGCCAGTTTGTCAGCATCTTGAAATAAAAGTGCACATTTCTCATTCTTTCACAGGAGAATCACTGTTTACGTATAAAAATCCTAGGAGATTGCTATTACTGTGTGTCTGGACTTCCCGAGGCAAGAGCAGACCACGCACACTGCTGTGTTGAAATGGGAATGGATATGATAGAGGCTATCTCGTAAGTATCCCACTCCCCAGTGAGGGACAGGGAACAAATATCAAAACTCTCTCTCTTTCTCTCTTTCTCTGTATTTGTGTGTGGTTCCAGTTAATTTCTTGTAAAGCAGCGTATCTCAATGAGATTCTGGCGTAGCATGCCAGAATCTCATTGAGACCAGGAATTGGAGTGGAGTGGCGCACAGAAAGCTTCTGGTACTGGTTGAAAGTCTCTGACAGGAGTGTAAAAGGCACAACTAGAAAAAGCGTCAAGATGACAGCTTGGCTCCGCTGCAATGCTGAGTACCCTTGCCACCTCCGTCCACCCTGTGCAGCACTTGAATGGGTCACTGGTGGAAGAGCTCTGGCCGTGAAGTGGGCAACCCCAGTCTAAAGATAAAAGGCCCAGACTATGGATTTGATTTTCAAAGAGCAATCAGCAACAACAACAACAATGAAGGGATATGAGGTGAATGTCCCTAAGGAAGAATGCCCAAAAGAGCCATACGTTGAACTCCAAAGGGAAGGTCAATGCACTGTTTTGTATTTCTGTACCCTTGGATTGTACTCCTTTTTCTTTTCTGTTTTCAAGGAGTCACTTAGTCCTGTTCTGGTTCAGTAAAAAAGTGACCTGCCTACAAGGAAGTTTTTTGCAGGCAAACATGTCATTAGTGATCATTTACAATTAGCTTATTAAGTATGGTACTCATACCAAGAGCTGTGAAGGGGCAGGATCTGAATTGGAAGCATGGTTTGAATAAAACCCTACTCCAACCCCAGTATTGATAATGCAATGTATACGCTGGATTGTCAGTTAAGAATATAAGACCGAAGGTCCATCCAGTCCTGCACTCTGTACACAGTGGCAGCCAGCTGTTCACAGGTCCCTCGGGCAGGATGGGTGCACGACCGCCTCCTGCCAAGCAAATTGAAATCCCATTGATTGCTGTAGGACACAGGGCAGTTCATCCAATCCTCTCTGAATTTCAGCCTTTGTTTCATTGTACACCAAACATTTCTATTCCAAGATAAACAAATCTAGTTCTTCAGTCAAGGTGATGCTGAAAGCTTCCAAGCTGCAATTCTGCAGTACTAATTTTACACAAATGTACAGAGCTTCCCAAAAGGTCCTACAGTTACAATGCTTGTCATTTCAGCACTCTGATCTTTCTTTTGTCTGAGAAGCATTCTCTTTTCATCAGAGAAGATGGAGGAGGCAGCGAGAACAGAAAGCATCTCACTCCAGATTTAGCAAAGAGATAAGATTGTTAGATCTTTTTCATCCTACGCAAAGTAAGAGCCAGGTTTTTAAAAGCTGACAGGGAACAATTTGTAAACAAAACTCAGGTGCACTTCAGCACCCATATCTGTGCTTCATTATAAAACACACTGCAGCTCTGTAGAAATGTCACGGAGTCTCAGCTGCAGTACCACTGAATTGCAGAAGACAGTCCTTGCGTTGTGCCAGGGCCAAAGCAGAGGAGACGCCACTGCTGTGGTGGCCCGTCTGGACTGGCCAGCAGGGTGGTCATGAGGCCATCTGTTGGCCTGCTTGCTCCAAAGGTGCAAATGAGGGACCTCTTTTCCAGCAAAAGTAGCAGGCTAGTTACTTTTGTTGCCAAAGGTGGGGTGGAGTGGGGTGGGGAAGCCCCTGTTCCTCAGCCGGTTAAAAAATTCCCCAATTGGCTACTGTTTGTGTGATCACCTGGCCACTGAGTCTTTGGCCATGGCACAGGGCAGCATGAGCCTTTCCCGTAGAATACGAAAGGTGTCTGTTCCTAATACAGCTTTGCCCACACCAGCTCAGTCTGAATCGTTTTCCTGCCTCCCCTTGGATGGCAAAGCATTAGGTTTAGCTCCATGCTCATCACGCATCACCTGATGCGAGGCTTGTGTACACGGGCTAACATCATTGTCTGCCGGACTGGACAGCTGTCAATGAGGCTGTTCTTGCAACTGCGTTTCTCAGACTCCTTCAGAAAAGGATTATTCCAGCCTTCTTAGCAGTGATGAAAGAAAGGAACCAAATCAACAAAATAAAATGTTGCTGTCCGCATTCTTTTCCAAACAGGCAATTTCACCGCACAATTTATGTTGCTGCAGTGGAGGTTTAAAGGGCTCTTACAGAGCTTTGTTTCTCCATCCACATACTTTAAGTTTGCAAAAAGAGGCAGGAATCATTGGAAGATAGTTGGGTGGGTGAGTGGCTGGAAGTGTGTAAATGTATTTTCTGAAATCTTTCATAAAAAATGTAATGCATGCAGCAAGTGGTCCGCTGCTCCAAGATAAAGGTGAAACTTGGTACAAAACAACAAATTTGCAAAAAGTCTTTTCTTCCTGTGAGAAGAATGTACATACCTGTCTCAAACACTGGGAGAGCCTCTTCACAGTGGTATTGCCTGCTTATCTCTTATCTGGAGCTGGGTTCTTTTATTTGTCTGCCTGAATTCATGAGTGCCTGTCCATGCCCAAGTGTTACAGCAGCCACAACTATGAAGATGACTTTTAATTTCTACCCAACTGGCTTGCAGGCTTACTGGTTTGAGGCAGATCAACTATAAAACCCCAGTCTCACCAGTTTCTGGGTAATTCTAAATCTTGTCCAAATATGACATATGACAAGCTGATAGAGACAAGCTCTTTGGGACCAGAATCATGCCTGTTCTTGGACTTGTGAAAGCCACTAAAATCTAAAATGTAAAAATTTTGAAAACAGTAATATTTGAAATTTGACCAAAGTAGGTTCCTTCTCTAAGTGCCTGTGGGGCTTGCTTACTCTCAAGGACAGTTCTGATAAATAAAAGTCATTTTGCTGATGCAAGTAGTACCAAAATAAACAAAGATCAAAGCTATAGGTTCTGTTTTCAACAAGCAAGGGGCAATTCACAAAATTCTTCTGCTCTACCTGCAAACAGCCCTGGGCATCCTCAAATATGCATCCACATGGAGAAAACAGAGAATGAAGGCAGAAGTATCCCATTCAGAAGTGCCCTTGCTGTATTCCTTTCATCCATATATTTCTTTCTGACAAGGGTGTGGAATGGGCTTCCATGGGAGGTCGTTGAGGCCCCATCGGTGAGGGTATTCAAGGATAGGCTGGACATGCACATGGTGCGCATGTCGTGAGTGGAGCCGGATGGAGCCGGGGGTCAGACTAGATGGCCTGGGAGGCCCTTCTGACTTGCTCTGTTTCTGTGTTTCTATGTTTTCCGGGTCCAGCGTTTGAAAGTTGATAGCAGTGTTTAATAGCACAGTACTGATTGGCTTAAAACCATGCTGTCACCACGAAACCTGGATCAGTTTTGCTTTTTAGCATTTTTATTACATTATTAATAAGACAAGGAATGAATGAATGGCTGCCTCTCTGAAGCAAGAAGGAAGGACAAGAACTGGTACTCCATTCACTAGTGAATCCCGGGGTTATGCTTTGGCTGAGGTACCTAGTATGAGATCTGTTTTTATATAATATTTGTCCTCACCACAGGAAGTCACACCAATTCCTTTAGACGGAGTCCTCAGATGTTCCCATTACCACACCACTAGATCAGTGACCCTTACATCTGCCTTGCTGGTTAGGACAGTGTTACTCCCATCATACTGCAGACGTGTGGTCCGAGGGTGGTGCTGAGGCTGAGAGGTTACAGGATTGCTTAAAGCCACCATGTAAGTTCTCAGCCCAGATGAGACTTGACTGAGCGACTTCCCAGCTCACACTCTTCACCACGACGCTGCACCCCATCTAGTGCCTCGCTTGATGCTTATGCTTCAGGACTGGCAGGATAACTGGCTGTAACTTCAAAACCTTCTTGTCACTCTAGTTACATTTCAAAAGAAAGGGTTGGGGCTGCAGGGAGAGGGTGTAGGAGGACACTTGTGTCCACAAAGGAGTCACTCTAGATGCTTTTAGAAATCAGGCCATCATGACATCTCATTCCAGCAAAGAGAACTGTTGCTACCTCCCTGCAAAACAATTGACCTGGAAATGGCCAAGCTGTGGCTGTTCCCACAGCAGCCGTTGCATGTCCAGTGACAGAAAAAAAAAAATGCAACCCAGCATTGAAGGTCTTTTGAGGCCAAGAGTTCCCTCAGTGGCTTCCTCCTATAATTTCCCTTGTAAATTGCTGTGTCTTTCCAAGTAAATTTTTGCCCTAAAAGGCAAAATCCCACAAAGAGCTCCAAGGATAGGTTTCAGAGCACACCCTGGACATCTCCAACTCATTAGTGTTGGAGTCTTTGGGGGTAACTGGAGAAGACAGGGATATCCAGTCTACTACAGAAACGGCCCAAGATTTCCTCTTGCAATGAACATTTCACATATGTATTATGTTTCATCTGTGGAACATTTAGTGCCTGGTGCTATGTGAACAAATCAAGACCTCTGAAATCATTTCCTTTCTTCTGTTTGCAACTCGGCTATTATGTTTAATGAGAGCTGGCAAGTTAAGTCCAGCTTTGGTATGGAAATCAGATACCAGTGCTTGCTAGTCTCTGCACTGCCCCAAATCATTCCCCCACCCCCACTCCAGGAGGCCTCAACTGAAAGCAAGCGGACTGTGTTGGGGGACACTTCCATCCCGTGCTTTCACTCCTCGTCTGACCAGCCTGTTGTGCCCTTTCTGTTTTACTGCAGGATTTCCGCAACAGCGTATCTGCATGTGTTCCTTACTTTTAGGAACTAGGGGCTTCCTAGTTCCTTTGGTTCCAATCTGTGCCATTTTCTTTGTCTTCCCTCCTTTCCCTGCATCTTTCCTCAGATTAGTGCGAGAGGTGACGGGGGTCAATGTGAACATGCGTGTGGGGATCCACAGCGGGAGAGTCCACTGTGGAGTCTTGGGCCTTCGGAAATGGCAGTTCGACGTGTGGTCAAATGACGTCACATTAGCCAATCACATGGAAGCTGGCGGCAAAGCAGGGTAAGAAGTTCCTGCTCTGGAAGTCATTGTGATACCTTTTTGGATCCTCTGGTTAGTAAACTTGTCTTGTAATGATCTATGAGGTTCAACATGCAAAATATCCAAGTTTTATTATTGGAGGATTTATTGCCACAAGCAAGTAATGCAGTGATGTTTTCTTGCCTGCTCTCCTATAATCCTGGAAAGATCATGCTTGCAGGGCAAGTCCTCAGCGCAATCAGAGGACGTAGTTTCCTCTTTCAAATTGTTTCTTTCTTGCTTTATTTTTGCTAGTAACCAGCATACTTTTTCATTTGGTTGTCTCTTGCCTCTGTTCAAGGCGCATCCACATAACAAAGGCTACACTGAACTATCTGAATGGTGACTATGAAGTGGAGCTGGGTTTTGGAGGGGAACGGAATGCGTACCTCAAGGAGCACAGCATAGAGACCTTCCTCATTGTGCAATGCAGCCAGAAAAGGGTAAGAACCCCAAACTTTATCATAGGCTGGAGGTTCCACTGCTCTTGGCAGCCTGCCAAAGAGGCCATGTGGAACCCTCATATTTTGGGCATTTTGATCTTGCCTCATCCGTAGCGCTTATAGGATTGAGGAGTGATGTAGGGATGTGACACTCTCCTTTCCCAGAGCAATTAAGGAGGAGTTGCTTCATGGCTTTGTAGCATGTATCTCATTATGATGAAACACATGCCCTTGCTTGTTGCCTTTAACTGTTTTGCTAAAAATACATATGGGCAATGTCAGTGCTGCTTGACCTTTGCTTATATTGCTTCTTGGGTGTGGGGGCAGGCACACACATGCGACTGTCACACACACACACACACACACACAAACACACTTTCTTGCGTATGCTTTATTTAATGAGGTGTCTGTCTGAACTTTTTTCCAGAAGATTCTACCAAACGATCATGCAATAGGTTCCTGTGAGTCATGGCAGTGTTACTTTTATTTGTTCACATCATCATAGGGAATGACCCCTGTGTGGTGGCCAGGGCTTGCCATGAACCCCTTTTTTCAGTTAATAATAGGTACTTCAAAGTCCTCTATGTAGGCTATCAGGACTGTGGCATGCTGCACTTGAGTATAAGTGGACTGGATTTTTCTTCAGGAAGAGCAGTCACAATTTATTAGAAAAAAAACTGTTGAAGATGACATGCAAGGTAAAAATTCCTCCAACAGGCTTTAGGAATTTTAGATTATTCTAAATTTTAGATTATTCCTTTCCCAATTCTTCCAGCAGAACAAATAAAACAATTTTTAAACATGAGATCCTAATAAATCTTGATCATCTTAATGTGATGATATTTTGGATTTAATGCATTTCAATCCAGTTTAAGTGATTCACATTCATATGGGTTTCCTCTACTGTGGGGTTGCTGAAGGAGAACCGAATTTATTTACATGAGTTAAAGAGCTCAAGTCCACATTGCTTTTGCCAAAATTGGAACAAGCAGATCAGGGGATGTCATATGCTCAATCTCTGAGTGACTTGTCTGCAATTTACAGGCTGATATGCAAAAAAGGGGAAACTGGAAAGAAGGACAGAGAAAGAACGGTGCTAATTTGTTATCCCAGCTCAGCACAGATGATGATATTCAGAGCAAAGGGGAATTTTCCCTATTTGTATCCTATCCCTAGGTTGTGCTTGCCATATAATAATTAGCCGTGCACATACTCTGCTTCAGTTTGAGAAGTCCCCAGCACACACAGCTCAAATACTCTGGCTCTGCAATAAAGTGACACTACAGTGGTACCTTGGCTCAGGAACTTAATCTGTTTCAGGACTCTGGTCATGACACAAATTGGTCATTAGCCAAGTTAAATTTCCCCATAAGGTTCAATGTAAATAAGGTTAATCCATTCTGTAACTTTTTTTTTTAATCAGAAAAATGTGAAGCAAAATGACAAGGAAAAACAAAGATTGTGGCCATCTCCACCCCCACCCTGAGCACAAGCGCAGCCACCTCCCTGCCCCCCCAGCACGACCGCGATCACACCTGTCATCCTTGCACACACCTGTCATCCCAGCATGCTGGGAGGGGGAGAGATGGGCACAAACGCGGGTGCATTCGGGGGCGGGGGGAGACGGGCACAATCGTGCTTGAGGGGAGAGATGGCCGTGATCGCGGTTGCGCGCCTGCAGGAAAGATGTGTGTGATCTCAACCATCTCCCCCTGCCCCCCAGCAAGCTCACGGCAATCTCCCCACTCGGGGGGGTGGGGAGATGGCTGCGATCACGGTCGCCACCCAATGCCAAGTTCGCAACCTGAGTCAAAACATTTATGAAATTTTTGTTCGTGACCCAATTTGGTCGTGAACTGAGGCATTCATGAGGTGTATTACCTGAAGAATACAGAAAGGCCAGTGACAATCAACACATTTCCAAGACTAAAGGCACAATTCCATGTGTGTTTAGAAAAAGATCCTACAAATTTCAGTGTTTTCCAATGAGCCACACACGGTTGGGCACTTAGAAATTGTCCTTGTCAAATCGTTTAGAGTTTTTGGAGGAACACTCTGTGCAGCACACAGTATCTGAACAGACTTTTTCTGCATTTCTGCATTAAATCAGGAAAATGCTGATTGTAATCAGTGGCATTTCTTAAAGTAGTATATTTTCACTCTACTTGTATGCATGACTACAGGTCCAGGCAAAAACTGGCTGTCATTTCCAGATAGCAATCAGTATCCTGATTTTTAATGTACAGTTCAGAGGAACTGGTGCATAAACGCAACACTCTTTTACACTGGACAAAACAAGTTGCTATTAAGGAGTAGACTGCATTTCCCAAGAGATTTATGTTGGCATTTGGGAGCAATTGGAAGAGCTGAAAGACTTTCCACAGCAGGTTCTACAACTGGCATCAAAGTTGGCAGGTTTGCAAAGAGCGCTTTCTTTAGCACAAGCAATTTGACCTGCAGAAGTTGCAAGCATTCTCCCATGTTGTCATGGGTGGGCTGGGAGCTGCAGCATACCAAAGTCAGTTCATGACCCACAATGTGCCATACGGCAAGAATTTTTCAAATCTGCTTGCATACTTAGGATCTTATTTTGCCGTAGCCATGAGGGTAAGTTTTCTTCATATTTTCTTAGCTATACCCCACAAGAAACATAAGGGGCTGTTCATTCCCCTTCACCACCGGTAGACCGCTCCTTTTCCATTCCCCATGAAATGACTCCAGCAATCAGCATTGTTTAAGCTTCAGCTTACCTTTTGATTATCAGGCTGTGCGTATTAATGAACCGCTTCCCGTATGAGCTTTGCCACCATTTAAAATGTTTCTCTGTGTGAAATCATAGCACCACCTGCTGAGAGCAGGGCCTGTGCTATGATAGCAAAGGCTTGGAGGAACATTGCAGGTGAGGCCCCCAACTCAGCTTCCTCACCTTTAGAAAGGGAAGTCCTGTTTCAGTGTGTCTTTGGAAGACTATTGGGTTGGTGACAGACTGGTCATTCTTAGAACAGACACCCCGAAATTTGTGGGATTTCAGTTAGTCCTGGCTAACTTACATCCAGTACATTGCAGCCGGTTCACTGTGTCTACATCTAAATTCAGAATCCATCCATTTTCTGTCAAATGTTAACTACTTAACCATCACGGATGTGTTAAGTTAATTTATCTTAAAAAATCAACAGAATGGTGTTAAAACAGCATAAGAGTATAAAAAACTCCTTCCACAATGGAGGTGTAAGTTCACTCATACTGTGCCTGTAGCTCGGGGTGAGTGGAGCTTCCTCTGAAGTAAATGCGTGTACAATCGCAGCCTTGGGGCTAGGCACACGGTGATGGCTTTGGCTTCACTCGGTTTTTGTGGCATCGATTGAGTCTTTATGAGGCTCTGACTGCAGCGCATCACATCCTCCTTGGCGCTAGTCTTCCATCTGGCTCCACTACCCCAGCACCAGGGCAGCCCGTGCAGCCCAGACTCCAAATGGGAGCGCTCTACCTCCTTCCACGTCCAGCTCCAGGGAAATTACACTGGCGGAATGTGCCAAAGATGCAGCGTCTGACTAAAAATCATAGCATTCATATAGCACTTTCCCCCAAATTCTTGAAAGCATTTCATGAACATGATTACCAGAACTTCAGAAATGTGATTTATCGTTAGAGAAAGTTCAAGATATGTTGCTGCTTATCTACTGCTGCAAAGACATTTATAGTGCAGTGAAACACGTTTCCTTTTATAGATCTTAAGCCTCGATTTATGGTCACTTTTTGATAACTACTGGTTACAAAACTCCCAGCTAAATTATTATGAAATGCACATACAATGTCATTTTTTTATTCCAGGCAATAAATATTTAGTCATGGATTACTGATTTGTTCTTGCTTCCTTTTTTGGCATCTAATGAGATATATTTTTAAAATCTGCAGATATGGAATCAGTTTTAGCTGGAGGGCAGTAATCGTCAGATTAGGAATGTAAAATAAATCACTGTGGCTATTTTAGAAATAAAGAAGCCAACCAACTACATAACCAAGTGACTTCATATTATTGTATTTTTAGAATAATTTGAACATCCCTTTTGGTGGCTTTCCAATGTTTTCTTAATATTTTGGCACAAGCAATGTGCTGTTCAAGCTCTTATAAATTAAGCCATGTTTTTTGGATCCAAAAAACCAGAAGGCATAGTTTTAACTTGATGGGGTTCAGTTCTCTTTTTCAGATCTTTCTGTGAGTTGTTCTTTGGGGCATATAGTTTATAGTGTCTATATTCAAATTTTTCCAATACACTGAAACTCTAAAGTGAAAACTTTTCCAGTTTTTTTTCCTGTTCTTTGAGCGTTAAAAAAAGTTTGTATCGCCCTGAAATTATTGTAGCATCAAATCAAGCCATCCTTCCATAAATCAGTCATCTCTTCTACTGGTTTTTCCATGGATGGGTAAAATAGCTTTGATCAAAACAAATTCTTCTTTTTGCATTGCATTTGAACTTTTGTCATCTTGCAAGGAACCAAGGTGGCTTACAAGGTTCTCCTCCTTGTCTTGTCCTATCCTCACAACAACAACCTTTTGAGGTAGGTTAGACTGAGTATGAGTGACTGGCCCAAAGTTACCCAGTAGCTTCATGACTGAGTAGATACCAGAACCCGGATGTCCCAAGTCCTAGCCCAACATTTTAACCACTATGCGACACTGACTCTCTTATGCTGTTATGCTAGCAGAAGTTGTTTTTGCTTATCCACAGGGGATCATTAATCCCCTGGAGTCCCTTATGCCCCCACCCCTATGTAAATGAAATATTTCTGCTTGTGTGAACAGGAATTTGGATCCAAGCTAAGGTGGGGCTTGCTCCAGACTTGCTCCAAACTAAAGCCCTAAATGTAACAAGCCCAATTCCAGGCTAGTGTGCATAAGAATGCAGCCTAGAATTCCCTTCTTAGGGAAGCGAGGTTGACACCTTCCCTGTCAGGTTTCCAAAAGCAGGCCCAAACCATGTTCTTCCAGCAGGCATTTGAGAATGGTCTGTGTGCTTGCGCTGTATTAGCTTTGCTTGTTTAATTTGGGTATTTGTTCAATTTTAATATTTAACTGATTTAATTATATTTTAACTTTTGTATATCTTGTATGCACTTTAACTGCATGAGTTTTATTATTGTGAGCCAGCTTGAGTCCCAAGTCACTGGGAATAGGCAGAATATAAATAAATATAATAAAAAATAAACTAGTAATAGAATACATCGCAAAATGCCAAATTCTGTTATTCCAAGGTCACATTCCTTCCAGTGAGGGAAAAAACCATTTTTCTGCAACTGTGAATAAACGAATAATCATTTCTCAGTCTGCTTCTGCTCTTCTGCTCTTCTGCCCCCGCCCCAACACCCAACTGGCGGTGGCTGCAACAGAGCTAGTGCTACTGAGCAAACTAATACAGAGTTCCTAATTTGCCTGTTGCTTCTTGTTTTTGTTTTACTGCAAACTGTAGTTTAAGAAAAGGGTTCAAAATGGGTAAACATAGGAGCAGAATTAGACCTGTGCTGAGCTGTCCCCATAAAGTCTGGGCACACTTCCCCACGTTTCTTCTCCAGCACCAGGCAGTGATGCAGAGCCAGAGTGGCAAAGGATGTGATATGGGGATGACTAACTGCTGGTCAGTGTACCCAGCTCAACACAACCCTGTGCAACGCAAGTCCGTCGCAAACTCTGGTTCTGCATCAGATGATCACAGCTGAAATCACCAGGCAAAACCTGCTACCCGGGAATGCAAAGTTGCACCACACTCCACAGCTGATTCAAGGACCGTGCCTGTCATACAATACAGCTGTTGTATTAATGAGAACAAACGACTGACGTGAGATGTCACACACAGTTGTTTGCATGTTTACCCTGCCTCTTTGTGAGCAGCTGCAGGAACCTGCAGCCTGGCTTCCAGGACAAAGGGAGAAGGGCTGCTTAACCCTTTCCCCGCCATCCATTTTCCTTATTCAGAATCATGCCAATCCCTCCCCTCCCCAATACACAAAACTGCCCTTTCATCTGTGAGAAAAACTACTTTCCTCTGCAGTTGTTGGGAGCTGGGTTCCTTTCTTCCCTCTTTTTCTCCTCTTGCAAGGAACCCAAGATGGCACACCATGGCTCTCCATTTCTTCCTCATGGTGGGTAGGCTGGGCTGACAGTCCGTGACTGGCCCAAAGTCACCCAATGAGCTCGTGACCAAGTGGGAACTAGAAACCGGACCCAGCTCAGTCTGGCACTCCAATCACTACATCACCACTCTAGCCTGCGCCTTTTCTCTCTCTGCCATTCTCTTCTGGAGTCATTCTCATTCTGGATTCGGTAGGTAGAGGACAAAAGCAGAATGAAAATCTACCTGTGAACCCCGTGTACCAGCATGTGGGGTGTCCATGACCGGGCACTGAGCTGTTTCACTCTCTCTCTTGCTGATACTTGTGTTATGCAACTCACAACTGAGGCTAGTCTCAGAAAGTGTAGATACACAGATATATGGTAGCATTTATTTAACTCCAAGAAGGATGGACAGTAAGGCAAAGACTATATCTTACTTTGAAGACATACCTAGCAGCAGCAGCAGCTTGCTTGCTTGCTTGCTTTCTCCCCCCTCCCTCCCCTCCCTCCCCTCTTTTGTTACTCCAACATGGGTCCCAGGCAAGGCCTCAAGCTGAGAATGGAATCTTAGCAGGTGGTAAGGAGACTTTCACCCTTTACCCCCACTGTGCTCCTGGTCCAATTCAGGTCCTGTATGCCTGCCGTTTTCATTACCGTAATGTAATCCATTAAAGCAATGGGGATTGCCAAACTCAAAGTCCTTGTTCAGCAGACAGCCACATTAGGGTCCTCGTCTGGATTTAGTGCTCCTGTAATTAAATAGGCAAAAGAGAAGAATGTAGCTGCTCCTTTTGCTTAGTTCCAAGATGTTACTAAGGCAAACAATTTCCTGCAGCTGCCTGCTCCTAAAGATCTTGGTTAATGTACTTTTGGGGGTAGAAGGACAACTTAAGGTGCAGGATTTAGGCTCACATCTAGTCACTGAACTTTTTCAAAATGTGATCTTTTCACTGTGTTCCTCTTTCTAGAAAGATGAGAAAGCAACAATAGCCAAGATGAACCGCCAGCGTGCTAATTCCATCGGGCACAACCCACCACACTGGGGAGTGGATCGCTCCTTTTACAACCATCTTGGCACTAACCAAGTTTCCAAGGAGATGAAAAGAATGGTAAAGATGTTCACACTTTTGTGTGAGTGAGTGTGTGTGTGTGTGCGTGTAAAGGTGTTTCTGTAAATGCTTTCCTGCAATGGCTATGGTATCAGAGCATTATGGAAGACTTGGGGGCCAACCAGGGACTTGCACTCTGCCTCAGCATCTGCTACTGAAACACAACTGAATGAAGGCAGTTTTGTAACTACCCGCTCACCCTACACTAGGCAAGATTTCTTACAAGATGATGGAGCAGCAACTGCAACTCAGTCACACAACTACCAATAAAATTACATGAAATGTGCTTTATTTGATGTTGTCCAAAAGTATTTTCTCTACTGCTCATTTCCAGAACAATTCAATTCCAGAACAAACAAAATGGGAAGTAACAGCAAATGCAAAGGCAGTTGATGTAGCTATAACAAGAGATCCAAAATCTGTATTTGTGTTGTAATACCTTTATTAGACCATTTTGACCAACACAAAAAAAGTGCAAGCTTTTGGCATATCTGAATCCTCTTCACCAGGCATGCACAGGGGTGAACAGGAGTCTGGACATCCCTTGTTCTCTTCTGAATTGTGTTGCTGATCGCAGACCCCTTGGACCCCTTGGAGCTAAGGAGCAGGGTACACACTTCTGTTGCAGTGCTAGGGATTCTCTAGCCTAAAGTTTGAAGGCAGGGGTTAGCCAAGAGATCATACCCCTCGGAATGCTAGGAAGTCCAGCTTGGTTGAAGTCACTGCACTTTCTGCATACATCTGAGCTGACTGGAAGCAGGCCAAATTGGGGGATTTTTCACAGACTATTGTTTCCAAAAGAGGTTGTGATTTCTGCATTTTTATATAACATGAAGGGAATTTGCTCAAATTGCACTATTTTCATATGCTTTCCAGATGGCTATTTGCATAAAACATGCAAAATATCATGAATTATGTACTTTGCATAGAGTTATACAAACTGCACAATTTGCTCAAGCTCTTTAGCATTTTTATGTGCAAACTGTGGCCTGTTTTAGAAATTGAAGTCCACAAACTTCCATGACACACTTCATAGTAAATCAGTGCCTGGACCGGGCTGGCAAAGCAGAATTGGAGCAGGGGGTCAGGAAAATCTGTTGGATTTTCCTTCACCTCTGTTGAGAGTATTATTTCTTGGCTAACTCACTGCAGTTCAGGAGTATCGTCACTGCCAAGGCCAAGCTTCAGTGATGGTGGCACTGCGGATCTCCACAAGGAGATGAATGAAGGCATCTAATCTAAATGTAGGTGTTGTAAGGAATTGCTGATACACAGATCAGGAAGGACTCTATGCTGGTTACACAGAGAATATTCTATCCATGAAAGAGGTGCCAAGTCTAATGTATGAATTCTTACTATTGACACTACTTGGATCAATTAACATTGTTTATCTCAATAATACTTCTATTTATTGCATTTATGCCCCACCTTTTTCCAAGGGGGTCAAGGTGGCATAGATGCTTGTCTACGCCTACCCTCATTTTATCCTCACCCTCTGGTGTATATCAGTGTGTGTGTGTGTGAGAGAGAGAGAGAGGAGGAGGTCACAGAAGATCAAGATCTCCCAGTGAGCTTCATGGCTGAGTGGGGAACTGAACCTGGTCTGACATGCTGCACCAGAGTAGTCCTATGCAGGCATTTCCCTGTTTGCATATAGGGCTAATGTGAGGAGGGGGACATTGACATGGATGTAAGCCCTACTTCCAAAGTCCCCACATACCCAGACCTTCAACTGTTGAGGACAGAAGGCTGACAGGGGCATTGTCAGTGCATCTAACCATTAAATGTGCTTGCAGAGATACTTTCAGCCTTGCACTCAGCAAGCAAAGGGCTGTCTGGCAGCTGGGTGTGGAAGGAGGCTCCCTTCCCCATTTTACCCTGCAAGCAAGCATGGGGCTGCCATGGCTGTCCATGACCACCTTCAGGTGAAGCAGCTCAGGCTGCGAGACAGTGACTTCCTTAAGGACGCACAGGCAAAACCTGGCTGAACCGATATTTGAAATGGGTGCGCGGCAAATGGTCTGACCCAGCATTTTGAATGTGAACAGCCAAGCTTGGACTGAGCTGGACACGGAGTGGCAGTTCCTGAGGATGGTAAAGTTCTGGCCTAATATGACCTACTTTTCTAGTTCCTGTTAGCGTTTGTTTCCCTGATTTGGACCAGCTGAAAGCTCCAGACTGTTTCCACAGACAGTCCCACATGCAGTGTGTTGCAGTCATCCAATTGCAAGGTTACTCGGGCCTGGATAACTGTTGCTTAGCTAGCCCAGTAACACAATTTAGCTTATCAATCAATTTCCTCTTCACTGCTATCCCTTTAAAATTAGTTAGGGAATGCTTTTACAAGATATGTCTTCACTGCACCCTGGACTATTTCTCATATTAAAAACAATGGTACATCCAATAGGGAAATGCCAGTTATGTAGCTAATTTCTTCCAGGGCAGTATATCCAAGAGTATAGTTTGGAAGTAACAACTCTTTTAGCACATTATATGAAATTTAGGGTGCAATCTTATGCCTGCTTAAACAGAAAAAAAATCTTAAAACTAATAGGGTTCTTATTCAGTCTGAACATGAATAGTAGGGCATCCTTAATTATTAATAGTGTTGATTCAGCTTAAAATAAAATGGGAAATGAGAAAAGCAAAGATTTCATCTGGAAGTAATTGAGTTGATCATACAGTGCTTGTGTTTTTTGCAAACATATTGCTGTGAATAATTCTGCGTTTACAATTATGCAGTCTAATCAGCTTGAATACCTCTAGTAATATGTCTATAAAATGAATGCCGCTGCTGTTATTTTTTCCCTTATTTTGTTTTTATGATGATCATCCTGTTCGTACACAGTTTTGTCAAGTGGACATAGTACAATATCAGTCCAGCTGCAGCTTTTGTTAGCATAGAAACCTCTTTTGGCTTTTTGGTCATGCAAACACACAAAGCACAATATGATGAAGGGATTCTAATCAAGCTAGAATGTAATTATAATTAGATGTTTCTTTGAATTGGCATTAGAGGGGTGCTTGCATCATCCAGTTCATAGACAAAGGGTAGCTGTGCCAAGAGGTATTATGCATCATGTTGTTAATTAGAGCTCGTTGCGTCTAGCTGGTGGTTCAGAAGGAAAACATTATTATTTATTGAAATATCAAACTGATATTTGGTTTTTGTTTTAAACAACATCCTCTACATTTTTGCAAGGCTATGAGCAGAAAAAAATATTTGGAACATGTAAAGACAGGGTGAATTTTTTACCTTTGTAGATAATCTGTCGTAAAGGGATAGTGTTTATTTTGTGAGAATTTTATATCTCTTCCAGGATATTTTGAGACACACAGAAGGTGCATTTAGCTTATGATTGCCTACAGTAAAAAATGTGAGGATTGGTATTTTGGAGATCAGTAGAGAAGTGCTGTGCTGAATATTTTATTGATATAAAGAAGGTCTTATTTTTTTCAGCACATCATTTCACACATGCATGTTGAAACTAGTAATTCTGCAAGTTGGATAGGGTGTGTTTATGATAACTTAGAAATAACTTCAAAAGAATCTGGGATGGAATTTTAGATGCATTGTTGCCCTGGGTGTCATCCTCATTTTCTTTGTCTCACTGCTTTCAGTCAGGTTCTCTTAGTCTTTGAATCACTACAAAAACCTTCAAAATCTGTTTACCAAGTATGATTCTGGGTGAGAACGCAACCCACAGAGAACAATACCTCTGTTGTGCTTCAACTCTCTGACAAAACTTGCCACCTGTTTCCAGCCATTACTGCCAATCCTGCAGAAAATAATTTATTTCTTCTTTCTCTTCCCTGCTTCTTCAAATAGTGAAGCACTGTGTTTTCTATCTTGCTTTTCTGGATGATGTTTCCATGCAATTATATAATGCTCCAGGTGGCCTAAAAGCATACTTAATATAGGGAATGAAAAACTCTGTTATGTAAAAACAGCCCCTCTGGGAGGAGGAACTTTAAAGGGTAGGAGCAGGGCCATGCAGGGGTAGCAGGGCACTAGGAAGGCAACTGAGTTATGCCCAAGCATCCCTTCACGTAGGACAGTGGCCACAAAAGCTGCTTTTCGTACAGGTGCCACCAGGGCAAATGTGTGTGAGCATAAGCATGGCATGACCAACAGCACCAAGCAAGCTTGGCTTTAGTCGCAGTTCATGAAACAGGACAGTATCCAGCGATATCAGTCCACAAACACAAATAGCACCTGCAAAACTGCGCCAAATATTTCTTCTGTATAAGCGCATTAGCATTATGTGTATGCAACTAGACATGCAAACACAGTGCACTAGTTTCTGCATGATGGTTTGGGCAACCAAAACTGTACTTGGATTGCCCTCTTGCTTCTAGTTCAGAACCTCGTTCCCATTAGCACAATATCATTTGCTCTAGGAATGACCCAGCTCACTGCTGCCACAGAATAACCATCGTGTTGCAAATGTGCTTCTCCTGCATGGCTAATGCTGTGTTGGATTTGTTAAAAAAAATCAGAAACCATGAACGAGAACAGTCTGCAAGCATATGAGCAAAATAGTACAGTCGTCTGAGTGCAGGTTTCAGCCAAAGTATCTCCTCAAATTACTTCATTGCCTGTTGCTGCTTGAATTATGAGCAGAACGGTGAAGGCCTGCCCTTCACTCTCCCAATTTTAGCCAAATCATGCCCAACAAAACCTTCTAAAAGCAGGTTTAAGGGGTAGGAACCCACTGTAATCAAACTCCTGCAAAGGAAGAATTTTCTGACTGAAAGCAATACAACAGTGGAACCAGCTGCCTAGAGAGGTTGTGTGCTCTTCCACACTAGATGCCTTCAAGAAGCAATTGGACAGTTTGGTGAACTGGGATGGTGTAACTGGTGCACTAGCAGGGGATTAGACTCAATAGCCTTCTTGGCCCCTTCTGACCCAGCTCTGTTCTCTCTCTCTCCTGCTCTCTCTCTCTCTCTCTCTCTCTCTCTCTCTCTCTCTCTCTCTCTCTCTCTGTGTGTGTGTGTGTGTGTGTGTGAGTGAGAGAGAGAGAGAGAGAGAGAGAGAGAGAGAGAGAGAGAGAGAGAAACTTGAGCACTGCTGTCTCTAGTAACTTTGAAACTGGACCCTTAGTTTAAACTCTGTTCTAAATGCAATTTTCAGGTCACAAATTTCATAGTTGTTACATCTATATTTGTAATATAAGGAAAAAATTTTCGTGAGTTAAAAGGGTGTTAATTCCTTAGACTGGTTATAGGCAGTGAAGTACCCACAGATACCAATACATACCCATATACCTTTCTTGGCATCTGCCAAGGTGGACTACCCTTTCCAATTTAAAGCTTAATTTATTTCACAGCTGGGATTGCTGTGAAACACGTTTCTGTTAGGGTTGAAAACTGTTGGTCCAAAAGAATCATAGAACATAGAGTGGGAAGGGGCCATGAAGGCCATCGGGTCCAACCCGCTGCTGTTGCAGGACACCAAGTGACAGCGTCCCACTCAGGTGGCTGTCCTGTTTCTTTCTGAATGTCTCTAGTGTGGGAGAGCCCACCACCTCTCCAGGCAGCCACCGCCACCATCAGAGTTCTTCAGGGTGTCAGGGCTCAACCTCCGCTTCTGGCTTGTTCTCAGTCTTCGGGCGAGTTGCTTGTCTTTCACCATGCTTCCCATGGCAGCCATTCTGTGCTGGTGCCCAGGGCAGTTTTTTGAATTGTCAAATATGGTCATGGCCTGAAAAGGTTGCCTTCACCTGCGCTAGGCTTGCCACCTGAGACTAGCCAGTGTTCGTATTGCCAATCTCGCACTGTGGCGAATGACGCTTGAGCTGCCCGCTCTGCCCTTGTTGTGTCATTTCACACCCAGGTGTCTTCCATTGACCCTGTGGTGGTTTCCTGCTTGCAAGCATGCAAATAGTACTCTAACAGTGGAATAGTCTTCCGACAGAGCATACAACTAGTGCCTAATGTTTCTTTCACTGCAGCAGTGTGATGAAGCCGCAAGTACTGTGTTAGCAGCATTTGTGACAGTGGCTCACAGCATGGAAACATTTTAAGATTAATCCTGGAAGCAGCAGGCTGCAGCCACGCTCTTATGAAGACATACTGGAGTTCTCAGAAAGGGAATCCCCACTGAATCCATATTGCACCCTTCCTAGCACAGCAGCATTTTTAATTTTGCTTTTCGCGGCAGACAATCCTGGCAAGTCTGGTTTGACTCAGGACTTTCTCCAATCTACCTCTGCTCTTTTACTTATTTCAGATTTCGCCCTAGGCAAAAGCTAGCAACAGCCTGGGGATACACAGAATGCAGCTTCACTGTTCTTCCTGAAAGTCTTTCGACCTCCCTCAAAGCTCCCTGAAAGTTCACTCTTATATGAGAATCCCAAATTCAGTTCTCTTTCATTTTAGACAAAATGCCAATGGCATCTCCAATGTATGGATTTTCCTGAGAGGCAATTCTACAGTACTCTTGAAAAAACCATGAGTAGTGGCGGATGCCCTTCAGCGGAGGAGCAGTCTCTTAGGGAAGTTCCAGGGCTGGGAAATCCGACTCCTGGGAGCCCAGTGGGCCACTCCCAGTCCAAGGATCAGACATGAGCCACGTTTGGCTTTTCTCACAGACGTGCCTCTCTCAGGCGGGCTGCAATTGGTGCATTTAAAATAAACGCTAAGGTACTGTATGCACATGGCACAAATTGAATTTGTGCAAACTGTGTGATTTCTGCAGATTTCCTTAGCCATTCTTTTAAAAATGTTCAAACCACATCTTAGAAATAGAAGTCCACAAGCTGGTTGAGCTTGTAGCACAGCGAGCAGATGCTGGTGCAGGGCTAGCGAACCAGAATCTCTGGGTCAGGGGCAAATTGTGAAAATCCAATAGATTTTCACCCCCTGTTGGGTCATTTCTCACATGTCCCTGCAGATGCTTCTTTGGAGCAACAGCTGTGGTGCCATGATTTCCTTGATTGTATCATCATGCTGTTCCCTAGTTTTTTTTCCAGGAGTCTCAGTGCAGAACAATGTGCATTAATTAGCCAAAGTGAAAGGATCTGGGTGTGATTGATGCTGAGACTGTGCACAAGGCTTGTTTGTGACCAGAAATCCACCCAGTCATTTCATGGAAGTTTCTAGTCTCAACTGCATTTACTGCTTGTTGCTGTTAGGTTCTCTTTTCCAGTCCAAGCAAAACAATATACCCAAGACAAACTAATATTTACTAAGTCACGAAGAATCATATTTTTAGCATATGTCTGTGAGATATTCAGTGGAGTTCAGTTCCCATTCCTCTTTTTTCCTGCTTAGCTAGTGTCATGTTTTTTAACATAATCATGGAGATATTTTAAAATACAGTCTTGTAGCAATGAGCAACTGCTGTTCCCAAGGTAACTCAGAAAGTGTTGGCTACTTGAATGTACTGCTACTGGTCTAGGGCCATATCCAAGGTGGGAGCCAATAAGTGACTTGCTGCAGCTGAAGCAATGGTTTTGTATTTTCTATTTTTTATTTTCTTAATACAGACTGTTAAATTTGGGATGGATGGATGAGAGCTTGTTTTGGAATAGGGAACCAGCTGAGTTTGCTAATGCTCCTAAAAATGATAGCGTCCCACCCAGTTGTTCTCAGCCAAGCTTTGCCCTGTCTGCAGATGGATTTGTCACAATGATTCACATCTTTCAGTTGCCAAAGTCATCTGAAATAAATTTAGGCTTGTGAACATAGCAAGGTGTTTAAAAAATATATAATTCTGGTATGGAGTGTTTGTGTATTCGCTCTTTCTTTAGGTTTGCCCCGCAGCTGAGTTCCATCTACTCTTTAAACGCTAGGATTCTGATAGAAGTAGTACCCTTTAACAGTGGGAGCAATTTACAATCATGCTTATTTAGCTTATATCCATCATGTCAGAGTCTATTGAAAGGTTGCTTGAAACTTCAGTAAGCCTCTTGATGTAATCTTAATAAACACAAGGCAAGAAAAAGCAAAAAAGAACAGAACAATTTGTTTGGCTTCCTGAAAAGCCTGAAACCCAGCCAGTAAGGTGTTGCGCAGGCATGGAAACGGTCAGAAGAAGCCTTCTCCTTCATGCCTTCCAACCTTGCTGCTTTCCAGGCCAGGCCCTCCCATGTAGCAGGATGAATCTCCCGCCTCTCATGGCGGAGCAGTGAAGTGTCTGCTCACATGCCTCCAGGAGGGGTTCCCGTGGCTGCTGCTGGGCTGGGGGATGCTGGTGGGCAAGCCGCTGCTCCGGAGAGTTCCACTGCATTTGCCACAGGGGGAGAGTTGAGCCCATTGAGCTCTCTGGAGGGGCTGCCCCCCTGGCAGCACTGCAGTGGGTTCTCTAGAGCAGTGGTTTTCAACCACTGGGCCATGGACCGGCATCGGACTGTGTGTGTGGGGGGGTGCATCCCTCTTGCTGCAGACCAGTGCAGGGGCTGGCTGTGCTGCACCACCTCTTCCTCCATTGGCATCACGCTTGGGGGAGGTGCACTGGTGCCACCAGGGGGCTGGTAGGAGAGACAGCTCGATGGGAGCCAGCTGGGAGTCACACCGTGCCAATTTCGATATTTTGTTCTTTTGTTGGCATTTTTTGTTGCTCAGTTTCTGGTTGTTTTGGAGATTTTTTTTGTATTATGTTTGGAAACTAATACGCAGAATACTTTATGTGCATGGTGTTTTTTGCTTCTGCCTCAGAGGTCCCCGAGGCAGTTTTCCTGTTTTCGGCAGTCCCACCTGTGGAAAGGCTGAAAACCACTGCTCTACAGAGTCCGAGCAGCCCTGCTTTCCCACTAGATCAAGTGCTGGCCACATGGCAGGGGTGGCCAGTGGAGCTCTCCAGCGCTGCGCCTGCTCCCTGGCATGCTCAGAAAATGCTCTCTGAGTGAGCTGGTGGGAGGCCAGGCTCTCCAAAGAGCCACGTAAGGGGGCTGCCCAGCTCAAGCACTTGGCTCCGGTGAGGGGAGACCTTCCTGGAGATTTTGAGACCCCCTCACTCGTTTTGTAAGCCCTACTGTAAGGGGGTAAGAGAGGAAAAACCACATTTATTCCCTTTATTTATGCTATTTATCTAGCCCCCCTTTTCCTCTTCCTCTCCATTTTGTCCTCCCAACAACCCTGTGAGGGAGGTTAGGCGGAGAGTCAGTGACTGGTTGAAAGGCACCTTGTGAGCTTCTTGGCCAAGTTGGGATTAAACCCCTCGTCTCCCAAGCTCCAGTCCAGCACTCCAACCTCCCCACAATACTGCGGTCTGGTTCACTGTCCGGTGTTTCTCAGAGGAAGAACAGGATATAAATGTAATAAATACACCTGTTTGTCCGTTGCTTGTCTCACTGATGTTCCAAAGACCTTAAAAATCAAAATGTCAGCACTTCTGTTGATTATTGCAGCACTAAACACTTCTGAGACCATATTCACACATAGCAACAGTGGTATGGGAGCCACCTTGCCTATCAAACTTCCTCCCTGCTCAGAATCGAGGGTGTATACTCCAAAGAGTTCCTTCACATCATTCGTATTGGCATACTTTGTGCGCATTCACATATCATATGAAAGCAACTCATTACATTCTCCTAAGTTCCAAATAATTCCAGTTGTACCCAGCAAGACAATGAGTGGCTTAGGCCAGGGACTGCCTCAGAGTTTCTTTCAGAGGCAGTTCTCCTAATCCATCTATTAGTCAGTTGTTATTTGGTCCCAAAGTTGATAAGTACACATACAAAAGATGCACTCCCATGTTGCTGTGAGAGTTTCAGACAAAAGATGCATTTGTGAATGCAGGCGATGTATGGTGTGACTAGCTTTGTTCCCTTTATGTTGATGTCTCCAAAATAGTTCTGTGACCTAAACAGTGACTGACACTACCTTCTCTTGATAAGTCAGTTCATTGGTGTCAAGCTGACGAATGTATGCCCCCCACCCCGATGTTTCTGTGTAATGCTTCAAAATTCTCCAGGTCATTCTGCTGGCTAATTTGTATTTTTTTCTTCTTCTTTTAATCTTCCTTTCAGGGTTTTGAAGATCCAAAAGACAAGTAAGAGAAAAAACTTGGTTCTCCTCCTCCTCCTCCTCCTTCTTTTTACTGTAACATGAAATGTGTAAAAAAAATTCCAGCTGCACAACTTTTTCTTGGACCCTGTGATGTCCTTCTACTAGTGGAACAGAATAACTGATGGAAAGGACTTCTTCTCCCCATGGTAGCCCCAGCTTGCATTAAGACTCCCCAAACGACCATCGCAAGCAAGCCCCACCCCCAAATAAAAAAATCTGTTTTTGAAAGTGTGAATTCAGGATTAACATATATAATTACTTTATTTCAATATAATACATTTATCTTATTTTACTACTTTCAACAAAACTTTGTGATAACCAAGTTCTCTATTGTTCCTTTCATAAAACTAAAAGCTATATACAATTATTGTGATAATAGCTGTTATATGAAGTTTAATTTGGAAGCATTTTGCAGGAAAATACCCTTCTTTTTCTAAAGTACCCAACAGTTAATTAACAAAGACAATTCCCTTTAGAATGTCTGAATCTGAGTGAGTTTAGACTATATCCAATTAGTAAAATCATTTGAAAGAGATTGTTTTTAGACCAAGTATCTTTCTTGTGACATGAACATTCCTTGTTGATTTATCCAAAAATAGCTTCTATTTAAAGTTCCTTGCCTTATAAAAACAACAGATGAATGCCCTAAGCTCCACCATTTTTCTCAGGAAAAGGCCCTACCTTGGATTATATTACCTCTGTGTAAACATATTTTATCTAGATTTATGAACAATAAACCTGGCTTCAATTGAACATACCAGATTGAATGTTTGGGTTACTGCTGTCTGTAACTGGTGTGCACCAGTGAGATTTGCAATGGCATCTACGGAATCTCAGAAGAGAATCTCGGTTATATAAGGCAGGAGTGGGTTGGGAGAGAGACAGAAAGCTCCAAATGTATCACCTCTGCTGTTTCCTAATTAAGGATATTTGTTAAAGTAGGATTTTTACTGCCAAAAATGCCAGAAAAGACTTAGTGTATTTTGTTTAGCTGTGGGAGTCTGAGATGAATAATTCAAGATCTGGGCTGTGCAGTTGTTTCCTGCCATTGATTAAAACATCATGTGATTTGCACTTAATTAGAACCTTTATAGGAGGGAGATATGACTTTGGAGCTTCCAAAGACATGAGGTCAAATACTTCAGATTCTCTCCTAATGAGTTTAGAGCTTCCACAAAGGCAAGAGGTCAAATGGTTTAGATTCTCTTCTCTGCGTTTGTGGGAGAGTCCTTTTTTAGACAGAAAAAGGTCCTACAACTCCCAGCATCCTCCAACCAGCCACGTTGGCTGCGGCATAATGGGGGTTGTAGGACTTTTTTCTATCTAAACAAGCATAGAATTATACCCTTAACTCAATTATTCAGATACAGTCATTCATGATTAAACCTAAACCTAATTTTCTTAATCCTGATTACAGTACTATTCTTTGACATGTTCAGGTCACAATGCAACTTTTTTAGTATTTCGCTTTTGCACAGTGACCATTTCATTTGACTGTGATGCAGTGATAGGTGACCTTTACTGCAATGGGATAATGTTGTTGTTGTTAGCCTTTGGGTCCTGAATGGAACCACAGAGAACCATTGTCATATTGGAAAAATTAAGGGAGCAGTGTGCGAAGAACTACCTTTACACCCATGGGGATATATAAGGCAGTGTCCAATGCAACATGAGTTATGTATTACAGTGACAATGACACTGGCTACCTCTTAGCTACCAAGCCATGTTCAGGGTCTGTTGGCATAATTCAGCCCTGAACAGCTTCTTCTTGTTGTTGTTGTTGTTGTTGTCAAGTTGTCTTTGACATATGACAACCCTATTAATGAAAGGGTTGAAATCTCCGAAATCTCCCATCCATGACATCCCTGCTTAGCTGTTCTAAATTCAAGGCTGTGGGTTCCTCAATGGAACCAATCCATCTCTTATTCAGTCTTCCTTTTCTTCTTCTTCCTGCCTTCAATGTTCCCTCATACAGAACAGCTTGGGAACAGGTTACCTGGCAGATCACCTACCTTTATAGAGATCGGCAGTCACTAAGATCACTGGAGGAAGCCTAAAGTGTGCCTTCTTCATGGTAGCTCCTGCCTTGTGGAAGGCACCAACTATGACATTTTACAGGTGCCTGGCAAAGACCCAGCTCTTTATCCATGCCTTTCCTGCATTATGCTACCTTGTTGGTTTGCTTAGCAATGTTGTGCTTTTACTGTTACTGAATTGCATTTATAGTCTGCCTTTCTTCCTCTTGCAAGGAACCCAAAGTGGCCTATGTAGTCCTCCTCCACTCCATTTTATCCTCACAGCAACGATCCTGGGTTAGCTTTGGTTCCAAATACTTTAAAATATTTTATGCATTTTACCTGATTACCTTTGTATTTGCTGTCATATAGTTTCTCCCATTTTTATAAATGGCCTAGAGAGACCTCTTGATATGCTAAGCAGTATAGAAATAGGCATCATCATCATCAGAATGTGAAGTACCAAGGAGAGCTTCCATTTGGGGGCAGCATAGAAATGTAGTAAGTAAATTAATAAATACATAATGTAAAGTACATTGTGCTGGCATAAAGGAGTGTAACTACTACAAAAATAGCCTCAACCAGCAAGATGGGATTCCCTGGAATATCTGTTGCATCAGCTAATGCTATTGGCATTGCAGGAAAGGTCATTTGTACTAGCACAGTGTAATTTATGTTAGTGCTTATGTTGCATTGGATACTGCCCATGGAGACCTCAATGAGAAATTGGATTATTGAGCTTTGGGTTCTGCTGTGGTTTCGTTTCAGCTGAGCTGTTCCACTGGATTGAATGTCAAGTCAGACCCTTGCTTCTCACAGGGACTGCAGGGCACCATTTAATATCAGATGCACAAATATCCCCATGGACTTATTCAGGAGTTAGAAGTGCTATATATAAAGAGGTTATTACTGTTTCTGAATACAGATTAATAGCAAAGCCTTCCTCTTTAGATTTGGAGGCTGGCACAAGAGAACAAGGTAGGGATCCTTTCTGATGATCTCTGTTGCTATAATAAAGTGGATTGTTCTGATATAATAAGAAGGTGGTATCAGCTTGTTTAGGTGAACACTGAATTATGCAGAAGTACAAAACATTTCTTAATCCAAAAGGGGGAACTCCACCTCACCCCAAAAAACTCTTTAACTCAATAAAGAGGCGTAGAAAAAAATTAAATAAGGACCAAACATGATCAGAAGATCCATTAGCCATGAAATGTTGAATATCAATTGGAAAAAAGTGCACTAAGGGTACAATCCTATGCCTGTTTAGACAGAAAAAGGTCCGGAATTCTGTAGCCAACATGGGTGAGTGGGGCTTGCTTGACCTTGTAAATCATTTTTTTCTCTTAATCAGGCCTAGATGGCACCTTGTGGCGGACCAAGTTGGCCCTGCCTGACCCCTAGCAGCTTTGCAGTATTTGCAGAAAGGCATTGCTGGCAGGGGTAATGGGGGATGCACTGCAGCGTTTTCTTGGAGAGAGTCCCATTTGTGGGTCTGCTAATCTCAAGTAACATTGAAGAGGAAAGTTAACTGCAACACATGATGCCCAAGAGGATTATAGCACTCTAAGGTAGTCAGGCATTGGGTTATTCCTTTAGTGTCTGTATTATATAAAGGAAGATAGAATGTGAAGTTGTTCAGAAAACTCATCAGTTAATATTTATGAATATTAGCCTCTATGTAATAGCCTGTATATAAAATCCAACTGAAAGACCTTTGGATGATGAGTGCGAATGCAGAACATGACTAGTCTCTGCTTTAAACTGTTGTCCTAGGAATATCCAAGAAAGTATGAATCCAGAAGATGAGGTGGATGAATTCCTAGGACGTGCTATTGATGCCAGAAGTATTGACCGGTTACGGTCTGAACATGTTCGCAAGTTTCTATTAACTTTCAGGGAGCTTGACTTGGAGAAGAAGGTAACATTTCAAAAGAAGATGCATCTCTGTAGAGATGAGTTAGCGTCTGAGAGCCAAACTAGGCCTGGTGGTGGCATATCCGTGTCTTTCAGCATAGGTCTGTGTTAACGATCTGTAAATTCAAGCATTTGTGCAGCTCAAAAGAGGAACATGAATGGCTGCATCAAACACCTCCATTCCACAAACCTAGACTGCTTTAAACTATGCAGTTCCTCTCTTGCATCTGCTTTTTTTTATCAGGTTCAGAAAAGGCTACTTTTTGAACCAGGCTGGTTTTGTGTGCAAACAGGCCCCTTCCCCAGTTGTTCTGTGAGGGAGGCACCCCTGGAGGCCATTTTCACTGAGTCTTTGAAGACAATCTCAGCATTGGGTACCCTTGTGTGAGTTCTGTGCCCTCCAGCACATGAATTTTTAGGGGGCACTTACGAAAGAGCCTGAGAGTAGTTCCATGGCAGGCATCCTCTGTTGCCACTCTAAGAAATGGAAGCTGGCAGCATAGCAAAGAAGGCAGAGGCGGATCTGTTTTGCAGCTTTCTGTTTGGCTGTTGAAGTCAGGAATGAGTAAACTGCAGCTTTCCAGAAATTGTCAGAGTACTGGTCCCATCATCCCACACCTTGGTGACTGGGGCTGATGGGAGTTGGGGCACTAACAACATCTCGAGGACTACAAAGTTCCACAACCCCCAAAAGGGGACTTTAATTTGGAATTTCAGTGCCTAACAAAGGTTTTCTTTCCTTTCAGTACTCCAAACAGGTGGATGATCGTTTTGGTGCATATGTGGCTTGTGCCTCCCTAGTCTTCCTCTTCATCTGCTTCGTTCAAATCACAATCGTTCCACAGTAAGCAGACCTTTGTATCTTTCTGTCTTCCTTTTTCCCATGTCTGGCTCCATTGCACTGAAGTGAAGAAATTTATTTTCAATAATGCATGCCTATGTGACAGTGTTTGCTGTTCATTTGCTTTGGGCCTTTCATGCAACAGGTTCCTGCTGTACCTTTGTGCTCTATGGTTATTTATTTTGGAAGAATCTGGTTTAGGGTACTTTTGCGGAAAAGGGAATTGTGGCTGTCTGTCAAGGGAAACTTGCTATTGTAACAGAGGACTAGATGCACAGGAAGGAAACTCCTTTTGAAAGCAGCTTGGATTGTTAGCAATAAGCTTGTATGCCTGATACGTTTTATTCTAATCTAAAATTTAGCTCTTGTAAAATTTGGTCAGGAAAAGTTATTTGAAAACTGCAGAGAAATGGAAGGAGATGTAGCTCAGGGATGGAAGATTGTTAAGAAAATCAGATTGGGAGCTTTGAGGAAGGAACAGGGGATCATAGCAGCCATAGGAGCATCACTTGAGGTTTCTCTTGCCCCAGTTATTCCTTCTAGGTCTAGATGTGCAGAGCTTCTTCCCTGCCTACACCTCCATGTTTTTCTGACCTGAGTAAAACTCTCCACATGCATGGTGTGCAAAGGTAACAGAAGGATGCATAGGAAAGGTAGGCAGCAATTTAATCTTGTGTGCAGGCGCACAGATATAGAAGGCAAAGGTGCTTGGATTGGTGCAGCACAAACACCTTGCTGTAGCGCTTTTGCTAGATGGTTCCTACCGTCTTTCCCTGAATATAGGACCTACCCCGAAAGTAAAACCTATTACCAAAAACTATAGGTAATAGGTCTTACTTTTTTTGCTTGCTTGCAGAGTGCCAGCGGGGTGCAGAGGGCGCAGCAGGAGGATGCAGAGAGGCTTAAGCCGATACTTCCTCTATAGTCCTGGCTCCTGTGAAGGGCGGAGTGATATCAAATGCACTCCGCCTGTCACAGGAGCCGGCACTATAGAGGAAGTATCGGCTCATGCCGCTCTTGCTTCCTCCACTGCCTGTGACAGTACCGGTAGCAGGCGCTGGAGAGGATTTGTGTATACAGCTTTTGGCAGCAATTGGAGTGCAGAGCAGAAAGGTGCAGAGCAGAGGTATGCAGAGCGGAAGCGCGCACAGCAGAAAAGTGCAGGGCAGAATGGTGCACTGCACAGCAGAAAAGTGCAGAGCAGAAGCGTGCAGAAAAGTGCAAGCAGAAGGGTGCACAGCAGAAAAGTGCAGAGCAGAAGGATGTACATTAAATGTACATTAAAAAAATAAGACCTACCCGAAAATAAGACCTAATGTGTTTTTTTGAGCAAAAAAACCAATAAAATAAGACAGTGTCTTACTTTCGGGGAAACACGGTAGTTGGGCAGTTGTAGCCACCAGCACTCGAGAGAAACACTGGAAGTCTTGCCATTCAAGCAGAGCTGGCACCATGTTTGAGTATGTCCAGGGCAAGGTGCCCTTTGGAAGCCAAAGATTGCACTCTGGTGCCCCCTCCCTTAAATGCAGCAAGCAACAGGAGGGAGCACTGGACAGGGCTATGGCTGCCAGCCATCTTCATTTCTCCAGAATTCCCATGGGCCCTTGCACTTGCTGGGCATGCTCTCTGCTGACAGCGAGCCTGCATTCATGAGAAGGTCCTCTTCTACCAGTCCTTGGAGAGTTCTCTGTGTGTGTGCTTTGGAGAGTGAATAAAGAAGCTGCCTATCCATGTGCCGTTGTGCATATAATGTGGGAGTCTGCAGTTTGCAGTTGACTTCCCAAGGGACATAATACTCATAAGCAAAGAGCTGAATGGTGGATGTGCAAAGAACTTGCTGTGCTTGCTCCTGAGCAATCTAGTCTCCTGTACTTCTTACAAGAAATGCATCACATGGTATTTTGCACCATACTGCTTCTGAGTAGGCCTGCTGTGGTGGATGCTTTGTGATAAATACACAAAGCTGTGTTCCAAAGGCTGCTTTTTTGTGTGGCTCTGAGTAGATCACCTCTGATCATAGTTGCTGTTATTATGGCTCTGTAGATTCTCCTTTCCCATTCTTCCTCTTAGAGTCGTTGGATTCTCTGTGGAATCCGACTTGTTGCTGGAACCAAAGAATGCAGGGCCCATTTTTGTGTGACTGTGTGATTTTCCCCTCCCCTTTTGCAGGTTTCCTGTCTCACCCTTCTTGTTTTGTGATCTGGGTTGCTGACCACTGGGATGTCAAAACCTGCTGTGTCCCTCATGATCGCTTAGCTTTATCTCTGCTGACCTGCCCTCCTGTCTGTCAGAGCAGTGGGTGAACGGGAGATGATGGAAGCTGGGCTGTCTCCTGGACGGAATCTCCCTCCCTCCTTCCCCAAAACACCCACACACTCCACTCAGACTGCAAAAGTCAACATTCCTTTAGTCTGTGTATCACTATGACTTTTTCCTCCAAGCAGAGAGAAAGCGGAAAGTGTAAGCCAAAAATATAACATTTCAACCGTCCCAATTATGAAAAAAGAAGGCAAATCCAAGAGATGTACGTAGGCTAAATTTAGGCCAATATCTTTACTTTCATGTGTGATTAATAGCTACTAAAATGGTTCTTTTGGCTTTAGCTCAGCGTCTTGAAGGCTTTACATTGGAGGTCTGTGATTTCTGTTACTCTTCAGTCATGATTTGTCCCTCTCAGTTTACTAAATTTTAACAGAAACTGGCCAGTGATGACAGAGACACCCACTGGGTGTTGTGTTGGAAATGTATCCTGTGCATCTTCGCTGAACCTGAGATTTATTTTTGCAATCTTCTGTCTCAGTATGAAAAATACCCGTTTGCAGTGGGCATGAAGCCATGAAATTGTGTGCCCCTGACATTTAAAGCAGTGTGGCACTTATTCCAGAAAGCAGCCATGTAACTAGGGCATGCCTGTTACGTGCATGTGTTTGTGCAGCCCTGTGCAGATATTTGCCTGCCTGTGTGGGGAGAGAGCAGTGCACACACACATGTAAGCCCGTCTGGCACTTGGCCACCTGAAAAGCACTTTGTAAGTGGATTCAGCTGAATGCATTTACAGAGCTTCTGGTGAGGCGGAGTTTCTGGTCATGGGAGCTCTGCAAGTACAATCAAACATGGTTGCATAGCCCTTGTAAGAGTTTTGCACTCAGTGTGCAAAGGTCTAACAAGCAGCCAGGCATGCCGCAGTGGTTGCATATGTACGCGCGCGCGCGCGCGCGCGCGCGCGCGCACACACACACACACACACACACACACGGATCTTTCGATAAAAGAAAGAAAAATGAGGATGAGAATAAAAAAGAAGCCGTAAAATAATAGTGCATTAATAGCATGATTAGGCTACAAGTTACCTTCATAGAACCCAAGGGGGTTATTCAGTGATGTCCATGAATCAGCAGGACTTGCTACTAGTGCAGTAGAAACCCAGCAGGGCCTTCAGCAAATGGAAATGAGCCAAAATAGAACTGGGCGGTTCAGCAGAGCCTGCAGAGGGAGTGCTGCTTTCCTGTCCGGTTCTGAGAATCAGTGTTCTGTTTCTGGGTTGTTTCAGGAAGCATTTGCTTACTCGCTGTGGGTTTCCCTGGGCCAACAGTAACAGCAGGTACATGGCAGCAGCACAGGATGTTGCGCATCAGTGTAATATTACTGGTTATATTTAGTAACCAGTGATAAGCTACAAATTCCATGTTTTGAAGGAGGCTGGGCTACTAGAACCTTGTTGCATGTGATAAAATGGTTGTCACTTAACTAGACAGAAGGCCAATTGAATGTTTCCATGATAAGCAATTCTTAGGGTCACAGGGCCATCATTATTCAATGCAACCATCAGACTATAAATACATGTGGCCTAATATGTATGATTTAAAGTTAGTCCATTCAATAGTGTAATTAAATGCAATAATGTCAAAAAGAAATGCTTTTTTAATAATTAAACATCTTGATGCCTTTTCATTCACTGGCTGTAAAGTTTCAAGGTAAAAACAGGTTTCTTACTATTCCATACTGAACCTTTTCATCAAGCATTGTCTGATTTTCATTTCAAGAAAGAAAAGATGCTCTAAATTAGCAGAGCAGTAGAGGAGTCTGAGTCACAACAGTTTCCCCAAAACCATCAGCAGGGAATACTGCAGCCCAGAGCCCGCCCAGCAGAGATGTCCTCCTTTTGTAACCAGAACTCTTGCACCCTTTTTTCAATGTGCCACAGCATCTATTTTGTGTGAGGAGAGAGGTGGAGTGTGAAAGAAGTTGACCCAAATTCCATGGCCTGAATAAATGAATACATAACAACCAAACTGGAGGTTTTGGTTAAAAGCATAATTGTCTCCCTGGTCATAAAGTCCTACTTAGATAAATTCTGTGCTCCCTCATAAGCAGCTATCAGGCTGTTCCCTTGAAAGAAAATGAAGAGTTAAACAACAGATAGGAAAAATATGTGCCTCTTTTCATATGTGGAAAAGTCAGCATCAATGTGAGAAGGTTCCTGTTGGCTTTTCTACATATGGAATGGACTTTCCAGCCTTCCTGTCTGTCCCCACCCCCGACCCCAAAATGCTTATATTTGAAGCTGCCTTGGAAAAGCATGTACTTGGGAACAATTCTCTCTGGTGGGCCAAGTACATCTTCTGGTGCCAGGACTTAATGAATCACCAGGGACATAAGCCTTGGTAGTCTCATCTTTCTACTACTCCTTTTCTCTTTTCTCTTTTACTGCCGCACAGTCTCTTTTATTCTGCCCATTGCACCCCCCCCCCTTTTCTAGGACTTCTTTTCTTCTTAAACTTCCCATACAAATTGCCTTTCTGATAGAACATCCCTCATGCAGAGACTGCTCCTCTCATCTGGAGACCCAAGGGCAGCTTCACCTGGACGCGTAACTTGCTCCCATCCATTGACTGTCCATAGAGTGCCATGTATGTGAACGTCCATCTGTCTTGCTTATTGACAGACCGTACCAGCAACTGATACTGCGTCGCTTTTCAGTGATATGTTATCTGTAAATGTAT